ATTATAATGTTGTAACTTGTTAAAATAAAAATGTATTTTTTTAAACATGTTTTAATTGATATACGATTATGTATGTTAATTTGATAAATGTTTAAAATGAAACATTTAAAAGTAAAGAACGTAAAGTAAATTAATTAATTAATTATAGGGGTATAAAATGTAAATTTAAAATTATAATTTTAAAAAAATAGGTTGTGAGAGGGTGAGTGTATGTGAGGGGGTGAGTATGTGAGGAGAGAAAGAGTGAAAAAGTGAAAATGTGAGTATAAAAGTTATTTTGGTCATTTAAAATTTTAAGACTTTAAGACTTTTGTTAAATTTCTAACCCGATAAGCGAAACGACTAATCTAGGGCGACCACCTGCTTTGCAGGTAGCGTGGAGTTACCGCATTTGAACCTTCGTGACCAGAAGAGGGTTTTTGTTCTTTCTTGAATTTAAACCTAAGAACTCCATACACTTTTGACCTTTGAAGCCAACTCAAACCAATCATCTATGCTATATTATAACACATTTGACAAAAAACTCTTAAAAACTATTTTTTATACATGAAGTACTGTGTATTAATGAATATTATTTAAAATCTAAAATTACAAGTAAATTGTGCCTAAGTATAACTTATTAAAGCTCCATTTTTGAATTCGTATGACTAACTACAGATAAAAATAATCAGATACAGGATAAACATCTCATTTTAAATATAAAAAATCTAAAATATAATTAGGATAATCATCTAACGAAATCATTATCTTTATAAAAATTATATTGTTAAACCAAAAATAAATTACTTTGCTATTAGACCTAAATTAAATTATAATAAAAAAATTATTTAAGAAAATTGTTCAAAAATATGAGAACTTTTAAAATAGTTAATTTGATATTAATATCGATATGTTTTTTTTAAACTTTTATTTATTTTTATTCAAAAGTAAAAAAAATTATATTTATCGAAATCACACAAAACCGTATTATATCAACAGAAACAAAAAATAAAATAAAATATTAAAATGAAGATATATCTCCCTGCATTGCACGAGTACCATTTTATTAATAAAAAATACATTTAATTTTGAGGAAATTTCATTAATAAAAAAAATGAAAATATTGTTTTCAATATCTTTAAAAAAATGATAATTAATATGAAAATTATAAAATACTATAAAGACAACTTCCCAGGAAGTCAATAACTTATAAAAACGGTTCATCTACCCACAAAACATCAATCCTGATGCATACTCTCTGTGTGAGGTGTGAAATGACGTTGAAAATGGAGAGCATGAAAACTCCATTTTTGTCTGGTGGAGAAGAATGCGATAAAAGGAAGAAATGGAGAACAGCTCTTTGGTTTCTCATCTCAATCATAGCTCTAACTTGTAAGTTAATTCCTTCTTTGTTGGATTTCAATTTTGATGATCTATTTTGATTTCTGTGATTTGGGTTTTGTTTCAACACTCGGATCGTCATATGGGTTGAAAAATATTTCTATGAAATCACCTTAATCGTGATTGAGATTTTCAACTTTACCTGTAAATTCAACCCAATTTGACTGAGAATTTCGGATTAAGAACAAATTTTAGTGATTACTGAAGTTCGTACAGAAGATTTGTGTCAAATGCTTTGATAATTCGATTCAGAATCGATGGGATTTTCTATTTGTTGACGAATTCAACGCATATTTAGCATTCAATAGCTGAAGAATCCTTCGATTTTTCCCCAATCTTGTTTTGTTTTGTTTCAGTTATCCTCCTTACATTGCGAGAAGACTCGAATTCTAGCTGGTCAGATGGTGGAAGGAGGATTAGAAAGAGGGTACAATCCGGAGATGCATTGGAATCACCGGAAACAACCACGAGAGTACAAGCCGGTTATGCAGTTGAGTCAATGGATGCAGTGGTTGCCGCCGATGATGCTCGTTGCTCGGAGATTGGAGCTTCAGTCCTTCGATCCGGTGGTCATGCCGTTGATGCTGCCGTTGCTGTGGCTTTGTGTCTCGGAGTTGTGAATCCGATGGCCAGTGGTGTTGGTGGCGGGGGATTTATGATCGTCCGATCGGCAGCTACGTCACAATCGCAGGCGATTGACTTCAGAGAAACTGCCCCTTTGGCTGCTTCAGAGGTTCTTCTTTCTATCCTCCTAGAATATGTACAATCTGTTCCAATTTATCCTTCTCTCCTTTCTGATCTACCTGTTTGTACAACCAACTGAACGAACACAAACAAAGGCGTGTTCATGTTCGTTCGTTTAACTTAACCGAACAAAGGAACGAACGCTAACGGTAAACAAACGAAAATCTTTGTGTTCGTGTTCGTTCGTTTGGAAAACAGGTGTGTTTGTGTTCGTTTATATTCGTTCGTTAACATGCTAAACGAACGTAGACGAACGAACAGGCTAAACGAACATCGTTTATATTCATTCGTTAACATGCTAAACGAACGAACATAAACGAACGGGCTAAATGAACATAAATAAATATTATTTGAATTCAAGTATATAAACAAAAGATTATATATTAAATTTAATATATAAATGAACATAAACAAACGAATATAAACGAACGGTAAATGAACGAACGATCACGAACATAAATGAACGAATGAGAATCTTGTTCATGTTCGTTCGTTTAATTAAATGAACACAAAAATTTGTTCATGTTCGTTCGTTTATTAAATAAACGAACTTCCCACCGAACGTTTCGCTAAACGTTCGGTTCGTTTACAGCCCTACTCGTTTGACATGAGTAGCTTAGTGATTTACAATCTTATCTTCTCTCTCGTTTTTGTTCCATCGTTTTGGACATAAGTTGTTTAGTAATTTACTGATCCTGTAATCTGATTTTTGTTACACCTATCTAACATTGGCGGTTTATAATTTACCAATCTTGTATCTCTTTCATTTTTGTTCCACCTATTTGGACATGAGTAGTTTAGTAATTTACCAATCTTGTCGTCTATCTTGTTTTTGTTCCACTTATTTGACATGGGTAGTTTAGTAATTTATCAATCTTGTCATCTCTAGATTTTTGTCTCACCTATTTGACATGGGTAGTTTAATAATTTAACAATCTTTTCATCTCTAGATTTTTGTCCCACCTATTTAACATGGGTAGTTTACTAATTTACCAATTCCGTCATCTATTTCATTTTTGTTCTACCTATTTGACATGATCAGTTTAGTAATTTACCAATCTTGTAATTTCTCTGTTTTTGTTCCACCTATTTGACATGGGTAGTTTAGTAATTTATCAATTTTGTCATCTCTCTTTTTTGTTCCCCCTGTTAGACACAAGTACTTTAGTAATTTACCAATCTTGTCATCTCTCTCATATTTGTTCCCCCTATTTGGCATAGGTAATCTAGTAATTTACCAATCTTTTCATCTTTCTATTTTTGTTCCACCTATTTGACATGAATAGTTTAATAATTTATCAATCTTGTAATTCTTCTGTTTTTGTTCCACCTATTTTGGTGGGACAGATAAAAATGCATTTTTGTGTCACTCAGGTCTTATCCTATCCAAGTCTAATTTCGCACGAAACATGGTAGTGACAAGTTTTTTTGTAACGGGTTGTCAAACGTGCCAAATGCACGAGATTGGCCCCTCACCGGGCTCTTAGAGCATCTCCAACATAGGTTCTTATAAGAACCCACTTTTTGTACTTTCTTTTGTCATAGTATTTATGACTCATTAAATTAAAAATCTATCAAAAATTCCACCACATTATTTTTTATAAGAACCTCTTTTGTGGGCCCCTTGTGTTTTTTCAACAACAATAATTATATAAAAAACTAACCACAAAGGTGGTGCCTGTTTGGTTTGAGCTTGACTTCAAAGGTCAAAAAGTACCTGGAGGTCTCAGGTTCAAATCCAAGGAGGAATAAAAGTCCCCTTGTGGCCACGAAGGTTCAAATGCGGTGACTCCGGGTTATCTGTAAAGCAGGTGGTCGCCTTGTGATTAGTCAGCTCACATAGCGGGTCGGATATCGAAGTTAATAAAAAATATATATATAAAAAACTATTAAAATGTCAAAAGGAACGTGAAAAAAATATATAAAAACTATTAAAATGCCATTTTTTCACACGAGGTTTTTGTACAAGAACTTCAAGAATACGAGTCTCTTATAAGAACTCTCTCAAATAGTAGTTCAACTTTATGCTTATAAGAACTTTGTATTGGAGATGATTTTAAGTCAGCCACTTAGCATACCAGCTGTATACCTGATTCGACTCTCGGAACGGTGTGGGCCGGCCCCGGAAACATGAACAAAGTGTGAAGTTTTTCGGTTTGATGTTTATATGCTGAATGTTGATTTGGTTGTTATTACGCAGAACATGTATGAGAACGATCTTGACGCCAAATACACCGGAGCATTATCGATGGGTGTTCCTGGGGAGATAGCCGGTCTCTATAAAGCATGGTCAAGATACGGGAGATTGCCTTGGAAGACGTTGTTTGATCCCGCCATCCGGTTTGCGAAAGACGGGTTCATGGTCGCACCTTATCTTGCCGGTAAAATTTCAAGCAATGCTGATAAGATCAAGAACGACCCTGGATTACGACAAGTGTTTGCTCCAAATGGGGAGGTTTTAGAATCCGGGGACATTTGCTACAACCCGAAACTCGGTTGGACGTTAGAAGTTGTAGCAAATGAAGGACCGAAAGCCTTTTACGATGGTGTGGTAGGGGAGAAGTTGGTTAACGATGTCCAAGATGCCGGCGGGATTTTGACGATGGAAGATTTGAGGAATTATAACGTCGAGGTTATGGATGCACTTGCCGTGGATACGATGGGGTATACTGTATTAGGTATGCCAGCCCCATCCAGTGGTACGTTGGGGCTAGCTTTGGTAGGTCGTTTTTTTTCTTTTCAAAACGCATTGTTGAGTTGTATTATACAACTCAACAATGCGTTATGTTTACCAAGTTAAAGAAAAACTTAGTACTTTATTCACTTGATCTCATGGAACCTGCATTTGGATGCGGAATGAAGGTTTCGAACATCTTAGAAAGCTACGAGAGCTCGAATGCTGCAAAAGGCTCGTTAGGTTTACACCGTTTCATTGAAGCATTGAAACACATGTATGCTTTTCGGATGGATTTGGGCGATCCAGATTTCGTCAATATAAGCAAGACCATGGCAGATATGCTTTCGCCTAAATTTGCGAAGAGCATCAGAGAGCGGATTTATGATAACACGACTTTCCCTCCCGCATACTACATGCCCAGGTAAATTCGATCCTCGGTTTTTATGGCCTTGTGAGTCAAAGTGACCTTGGGGCTGTTTGGCTGTTTCTACATTAAGAGGCTGATTGGTTGGTATTCCATTAAGTCCCGTATGAATAAAGTTATCTGTGTGGATTAATCTGTCTGTATAAATTAAGAAGGTTTTTGTTTGGGAGAGTTTTTTATAGATGGAAGGATTAATCATTAAGTCCTGCTATTTGTTTCATTAAGCCCTGTATGGATTAAACTGGTACCATTATTGAACCAGGTGGAGTCAACTTTTGGACCATGGTACTAGTCATTTTTGCATTGTCGATGCTGATAGGAATGCGGTGTCGATGACAACCACCGTGAATTACGCTTTCGGAGGCGGGGTTCTTTCTCCTTCCACGGGCATCGTACTAAACAACGAGATGGGTGATTTCTCGGTTCCAACAGAAGTATCATCGGACACTCTTCCGCCTTCGCCTTCAAATTTTATCCGACCTGGGAAGAGGCCATTGTCGTCCATGACTCCAATCATCATCCTCAAGGTAAACACCAGGACCTAAAAAGATTCGACCCAAAACAAATGTTGACAGTAAAAAAAGGGGCACAGCTTCAGGAATATGTAATTATTATATTTTTTAATTAACTAAATGACAATATTACCCTTGATAATAAAATATATAATTTCTTCATCTCGTTAAGGGTATAATTGGAAAGTAAACACCTATTTTTGAAATTCAAATGGGCTTAATTTGATCATAAAATTGCTGGGAACAAATGCAGTATCAAGATTTGAGTTCTGGAAGTAAAACGCGTTACGTCTAACCTTAAAGATGCTTGTATTTAATTACAATTCGACGTTCAATCGAGATTGACTTTTGAAAGTCAAACGACCTACTTTTGATCTTAAAAGTTCTGGTTTTACAGGATGAACAATTAGCTGGGGTGATCGGAGGCAGCGGTGGTATGAGCATAATTCCAGCCGTTGCTCAAGTTTTCCTCAACCATTTTGTGTTGGGCATGGACCCTTCGAATGCGGTTCAGTCGCCACGAGTCTACCACAAGGTCCATATATATGTTAAGAGTACCATATCAGAAGAAGAGTTAAGGTGAGAAGTGTAAGACGGATCTCCATCCTTAGATGCACATTAGGATGAGATGCACCAGATCAATCCCTGTATCAAACGCGCTTCATGGGTGGGTTTGACATTAAAGGTGATCAAGGGTCCAGATCCTTTCTTACGCATCTCATCTTAGCTCTCCTTTTCACACGATCCTTTGCCTTCCTCTGGATATATATATATATATATATATATATATACACACACACACACAGGGGCCTAATCAAATGAGAACTAATTAATTTGTGATAACCGTGAGGTCCAATCTCAACCACAAATCAATAGATAAATTAGGAAATTTATAATTTTCGTATTTTTTAATTAAAATTTTAATGCAAGGACATTTTAGGTATTTTCTCTCCTCTCTTCTCTCTCTGTCCCTGTCTTCCGGCTACCGTCCTCCGGCCATTCTCCGGCCACCTTCCTCCGTACCACAGTGTGATACTCAAAGCACATATAAGATGCATTTTGATACCACTGTGTTACATATTCGATCGACCGCACAAACGACCACAGTGTGATACCCAATCACATATAAGATGCATTGTGATACCACTGTGGTATCACCGGAGGACGGTGGCTGGAGGTTGGGGGATGGAGGCCGGGAGACGGAGAGAGAAGAGAGGAGATAGGAGATAGAAGAGAAAATACCTAAAATGTCCCTGCATTAAAATTTTAATTAAAACCAAAATTAAAAATTTCCTAATTTATCTATTGATTTGTGGTTGAGATTGGACCTCACGGTTACCACAAACTAGTCAGTTCTCCCTTGAATGGGCCCCTGTATACAGATATATATATATATATATATATATATATATATAGATAGATATATAGGGTCAACTTCAAGATAATAAATAATGAAAAACTGATGAACATCCTAGTAACCATTCGTTTGTATGATAATGCACATAGTTTGTAAGTAATTTGTTCAGTATGCACATGTGCATTAAAACAAAAAAACATCTTCAATTACTTGGATGCACGTATGCATACCGTACATATGATTGGTTACTAGGGTGTTATTAAAATTTTCATTTTTTGGGGTCTTCACTCCCTCTCTCACTCTATATATATATGTATTGAACCTCGTTTTTGTTCCAAGAGTTTTTTTGGAGAGTAATCTGATGAGGTTCGGCATATTCTGACAGTATGAACCAAAATTCTGTTATGCAGTTGATACCAAATGTGGTGTCTTATGAAAACTGGACGGTGATTGATGGTGACCATATCGAGCTTTCGGATGATAGAAAAAAGTTCTTGGAAGAAAGGGGTCATGAGCTGAAGGCGAAAGCCGGTGGAGCGATCTGTCAGCTTATCGTTCAAACGCTAAATAAAAAACCGAATGAAAATAGAAAACCAATGTATAACCAGACGCAGGTTTTGATAGGGATGCTTACGGCTGTAAGCGACCCGAGGAAAGATGGCCGGCCGGCCGCTTGCTGATGACCACTTGGTGGCGGTTGGTGCCGGTCGGAAGTATAACTACAAGGGTAGTTATGTAAATGTGTAAATCCTATGTAAATCTTAATATATTTAAACTACAAGGTTGTTTATTGTATAAATTTATCTATAAGTTTAATATTATAATTTTCCAATCGGTGAAATAAACAATTTAAACAAATTCAGACAGTAATCAATTTACAGAAACAAACAGTCTTATTAATTCAGATTTCAGATTTCAGCATAATCTATGCTAAACAGTCTTAATATAAACAGTCTTATCAGTTTACAATTAAACTAATACTATAATCTTTTTGGTCATAATCGAAGAATGGCCACATTTAGTATACTTATGTGTTACATATTCTTTCGGGTTAAGGGGTATCGCATTCCTAGTTCCGTTCTCGGTTAACAAATTCGGGGATTCTTCATCCTGATCAATTCAAGGATTTCCCAGTCAAACCAGATTTAGATATCGAGTTCCTCGTTTTCTTGCCGTCCTTTAACCAACCCGAACCAAATTGTTTTTAATTATTAATAATAGAAATAATAATAATAATAATAATAATAATAATAATAATAATAATAATAATAATAATAAGAGAAATTAATTAAAATAACCATTTTCAGACTTTTGAATTGATCTCTTACGGGCCGTTTACCGAATGCTTACTCGGGTAAGCACTTACCAAGTTACGTTACCTTACCGGATGAATATGATAAGGACCAAAAATCTTATTCGGTAAGAGTGAAACAAAGAATGAAAGTCTTACCCAGTAAGTGAGAGTGAAAGCTCTTACCATGGTTAGGGGCTGTTTGGCAGTTGCTGAATGATTTAGTTCAGAATAGTTAAGAGGTTAGAATGGCTAAGAGGAT